TCGCTGGACCTCAGACGTCAGTCCTAAATGGGGACTCAACATGCCTGTGGCCCACATTAGATTGGGATTTTAAACCAGGTTGTCACTGTGCATCCAGGCTGCTTAAGTTTGGTTCGTTATTGGCACATGGTGGTGGAGAAAGTAGGGAATATCAGTTATGACAGATGGGCAGTCATCGATCAGGTTACGGAACGTGCTCGTTCCGTTGTGTTTTGGGGCTCATACTAGAACGCTCACAGGCAGTTCCTTGTCTTTGTCGGTACCATCTCATTTACATCTACTATTAGTCGCTGTAAGACTGCCTGTGAGGGTTCAATTATGAGCCACGAAGCAAAGCGGAACGAGCACGTTCCGTAACCTGATCGGTGAACGCTCATCTGTTATAAATATACATATAAACATGCAGAATGGCATTACCGACAAAGACAAGGGAGACTGGAATAGTCATTTCTGGCTTATTAGCCGTCGTCCGCCAGCCATACCCAAACCCGAAGTGTGGAACACCCGAGGCTCGAACTCGCGATCTGTTGGGTATGACTGGCGGACGACGGCTCTTAATCCAGAAATGACCATTCCGGTTTCCCTTGTCTTTGTCGGTAAGGCCATTCTGCCTATATCATGCGCCGCTGTGCGGCTGCTGGTTGGGCTCGAGAGAGAGAGCCCGTAAGGCATAACGGAACGAGTGAGTTCCGTGAGAACGATCGATGAGCGCCCCCCTATCATCATAATATCTATCATATATATGTGTGTGTTTCCGTCAGCATCTGACAACGGCCTGAGGAGCCGGCGTCTAAAAGTCGCGCAATAAAGTTCCTTTACCCAAAAAACTAGTCTCGGAAATTTACCCAATAAATTTTACTTTTTCCCAAAGCATTTCATCTCCCTAAACAAATTTCTTTGGACACCCGTTTCTTATTCCGTGTGTATATACATAGATATTCAATCAGGAAAGGGCGCACACCGATCTATTGGCTTCACGAAGCAAACAAGCTCCGTATGTGTGGCAAAGGTCACGAACAGGCAACCAATTACCAGGCCGATGTCAGCCAAGTCATAATAGCATAATAATATAACATAGGTATATGTGGTAGAACATAAAGTTAAGTCTTTGGGACATGACATTTTGGGGCCGGACTCGAAATTTCAATAAACATTTTAGTCTAAGACAATCAGCTGCTGTGGAATCACTACGCAGTGTCCATTCTAAAAAGGTAGTACTAGGAGTAGTATGAAATGTACATGTCAAACTTATTATACCGTACTCCCGGCATATGTACGAACTGAAAACCCAGACACGTGTTTCGCTGATATTCTGCGGCTGCGTGAAGCAGGTGCGTGGGGTTCGGCTCTTCAGTGGGGCCTCCAAAGTTCCCTACGCGGTTTCTGACATATGAACTCTAGAGGATAATCACATGAATAGTTTCAGAAATTACTCAGTGCAAGACATGGAGTCAAGTCCTCTGGACATGACTTTTTAGGATCAGACCCGAAATTCCAATCTTAAGATATGGTTTTAAGTAGACAGGGTGTATTAAGTAATGCTGTAATACTGACTAGCAGGCAGTGCAGTCTCGAATATCACCGATATCCAAAGACATTGGCTTTCGAATAAGAATGTTTTCAAGCCGGGAATGCTGACACGATTATTCTAAAAGTATGAAACCAACGCGCCTATTTATGCTGTTTCTTAATGTACACTGCGGGGTCGATAGATACCGCAACTTTTGTAGATACAACGTGACATCTGTCTACTCGCTTAACTGCATATGCAATGTTGTTTTAATGAAACGTGCGTACCGTGGAACTTGAAGCCCCTAAAATTATTGAGTTTTAAATAATGCAGGAACTGACAAATTATTTCAAAACTGACCGTCATTCTTCGTTTAAGAGCAACTTGAATGAAGTAGTCGTTTTCTACAGATAAAATATAAAAAGCATTTACCGTGAGCTCTTTCCGTAAGGCATAACTAAATTTATGCGAGCATTGAGAATTAATGAAAAAGTGCTCATTACATAGAAAGCCAGTGCTGCCGACTGCGTTTCTCGAAAGCAGTCTGGGCGCATATGAAATACTTTAGGATTATATTACATGCCAATCAACACCACAAAATCCCTGAAGCAATTGTTCCTAATCAAAATTCCAATCACCATTTCATTACTTTCGTCACTTCCTATATGCCCTGGAAGGACTGGGCCTGTGTTATGATCTTCACAATACCCACTCATTTCGACCGAACCTGCCCCCACCGACAGTATTCTCATTCATTTGAGGTCTCCACCCTAAATATAAGTAGTCATGTTTCTATATAGGTGGGCATGACGTTATATGCTGATAAAAGCGAACAGGCGAGTTCCAGGTTACAGTTCAGAAGACGAAGATGCAATCACTGTGTTCTAGTGATCGCATCTTCGTCTTATGACATTATATGCCAACCCTTTGCCCCATAAAACGGGCCATGTATTAGATGTTCAAGACCAACATGGGAGCTACATCGTACGTTGGCAGGCGTTACGGGTAATGCGTATCCACGACAAATGCCAAAATTCGGGATGCAGTGGCAGGCTCAGTTGTCGGCCCACGCCGTGCCATTTGGGATCCCTGCCCCCCCCCCCCCTGTCTAAAATCCTGATGAAGTGTTTGTTGTGGACCAGGGTGTGTGGTAGTACGCATAGGTACGCGGTTAAGCTATGCCAGTCACCTGAGGCCTCTCCCTCGTCCAGTCTTCTTGACTTTGTCTTGACAGCGGGCCCAGATGGGGCAGGAGGAGAGATTGCGATAGATGTAGCCAAGTCGACTACCACTATGGACTAATTCGCTCGCAAATCACCGTCCTTGCCCTCACCCCTCATTGGAGCACATGGTGGACATCATCGGCAACGACGGTCGAACTGTCGTCATATGCCACCCCCCTCCCCTCCGCTCAAAATGGGTCGAACCAAAACGGTATCATATTGGTACCCAACGTGCGATCATGGAATTGCATCGAGTCTGCTTAAGGCCATGACTATTACTGTACGCGCTCGTCGCACGCTCCTTACGGGGACTTTCATACTATGTCAGTCGCTGCATTGAATCTTCTCACCAGTCGAAAGACAGGCGCCGAAAGTTCATTGTTTTATGAGGGAGGGCGGATACAAAATTCAGGCTAATGCCGAGAATTTCATTCTCGAGGTAGAAAAGCGTACTCCTTACCAAAGTTATCAGGACACGTTTAAACCTACCAGTTTAGGGGGTAACTCGACTCTACTTCGAACCGGGGGTATGGTTACAACTGCTTCGTTTTAATGCAGTCTTAATGCCCCCCCCCCCACATGCAGTGCGTGACTGATCTCATGAAATGTTGGCCGAAATTCTGAAATGCGTTTTCGATAGGAAGGATTACTTAGGTGGGCTTGTAATATTGATTAGCATGCAGAATAAACCTATAGCATTTCGGACTCACCAGGATGTCGGCATTTGGATGCACTCCTTTCTGACCTTCTGCAAAAACCGCCATCTCCAAAAGATGACCACTTGAGTAGCATGCATTTTTCGTCATTTTTTGATATTTTTACAAATTCAAATATATTTTATAGAAAACGTATGCAAAATATGTCTTTTTTTACTCGTTCGATAGAAAATCACACTGTCTTCATACTTTATACATGAAGAAAGTGTATGTCTAGGTTTTAAAAAAGTTTTATAACCCCCGAATATTCTTGAGTCAGATCTGCCATTGCCTTAGCGTTTGGCGATTTCACTTTAAAAGGTGCATGCTTCCCGCGTAAGGAAAATCATATATTCCTCTATGCCTTTAAGAAGATACCATATAGAGTTCATAGAATTTCGCAATGGATCCGGACTTTGTTGCACATTTCATGAGAAGCCTTAGTAAACGGGCGTGTTGTATATATGGACATCTCACGGTCTTGAAAATCTCATAATCAGAAACATTTTGAAACCTAAATATACACTTTCTTCGTGTATAAAGTATGAAGGCAGTGTGATTTTCTATCGAACGAGTAAAAAAGACATATTTTGTGTACGTTTTCTATAAAATATATTCGAATTTATAAAACTTTCGAAAATAATGACGAAAAATGCATGCTACTCAAGTGGCCATCTTTTGGAGATGGCGGTTTTTGAAGAAGGTCTGAAAGGAGTGCATCCAAATGCCGACATCCTGGTGAGTCCGAAATGCTATAGGATTATGCTGCATGCTAATCAATATTACAACCCCACCTAAGTAATCCTTCCTATCGAAAACACATTTCAGAATTTCGGCCAACATTTCATGAGATCCAAGCCGCCTTCCCTCTATGATGCCTAGTACAGGTAGAGTTAGTATTCAGACAGTATGTGGAACGCGTTCGCCTGTGTTAGTCACTGCGTGCGAGCTAACGCCCAGCCGGCTAGGTCGCGTCTCCTCATTGAAACGCGGTGGGTATATGAAGGGAGGATGACGTAGATGCGACGCAAGTCCTATTCAATATAAACAAAACTGTGTGCTAATCACTGCCTCATCCACTTTGTGCAGTCCGTGGTGGCCTATCTACCAAGCGCTAGCATTGTCAGTAGTCCGCAAATCACATCCCTCATTCTGACAGTATATTGCCCAATAAAATATTAGTTGTACTTGCTGTCAATACTGCACTCAGAATTGGGGCATCGTTAGTACATTAGTATTGTCGCCACAAGCAAGAACACATATAGTCATGGTTTGACCCTCAGTAAAAAGGTACGAAATTCCTTTTAATAAATTTATATAAACAGGCGAAAATTAAGTATAGAAAATAATGTGTGTCAACACGTACCGCATGGCAAGGAATCGGGCTTAGCGTGAGGTCGATAATCAGAAGAAAACAAGAAATGGTACACTGATTGTGTTGGTATTCAAAACTACCGTTTCCTGTCTACGATACCGTCTTCTGAGCAAGAGCAGGGTAGGGGAGTATGGGGTCGGTAGGAGAATTAACATCGGACACGGGAGGTCATTGTTCCTGGGGAGTTTACTGACTCTTCAAGCTGAGTAAACCACAGCCTCCATCGGCTGCTTCAGAAGGCCGGACTCGTTTATCTGGAACTCGAAGGGACACTCCGGTTTTACCTCTGCTGGCAGTTGGTACGTGGTGGCCGTAACGTGTGAAGGCGGTGGTAGGGAGTAGTCTGCAGCGTGATGTTGATTCATTAGGAGGAAATCGCACTGCTGCTGCTGCTGATGCGACTGAGACCGTAACCGCATATCTCCGGGGAGGCAGGGTAGAGGTACCCCTTCGGGGATCTCATCGGGGACCCGCAGCTGCAAATGTTCACTCTGGTGGATTTGGTGGTTTTGCTGTTGCTGTTGTTGCTGCTGCTGTTGATAAACTCCCTCGGTTTCACCATTCGAGACAAACTGGGGGGAGCTGGAAATTGTTGAGGGAACACCACTGACGGCAACGACTGCGGAGGCTGCGGTCGCGACCGTGGAGGCCGATGAGGCTGCGCTCATGGCCAGGGCTTCTGGAACGAGTTGGCTGGGAGTGCTGGTGTAGAACATTGAGTTGTAGGACGACAGAAGGTGAGGGTGTGGAGAAGCTTCCGCCCCAGAGGCCTCGTTACCAGGGAAAAACTGCCTCGGACTGTAGCTCTTGGGGTAGTTTTCCAGTCCCTCCTGTTCCGACTCTTTGCTGTAGTACATGGTCGTCCTGGGGTTGTGGAGACCCTCCGACTCTGAAACTGTACAGAAGCGCAAGCTCTGCTGCTGCTGCTGTTGTTGTTGGTGCTGGGAGGTCGCGACCTCGGTTTCATGAGCGGAAACGTCAGTACCCGAAAGACCGTCAGCGCCATTGTGGTCTGGATCGTAACCAAGAGAATTATCACTTGCCTGGCTGTCGGTTAGATGATCTCCAACCGTAGACGCCGCAGAATCGAACATAGGATTTAGACGTTTCTGCTTTTGTCGACGGTTGCAGAACCACACACGAACAACTTCCTTCTCCAGCCCAAGAGCGTCTGCCAGCTGAGTGATATCCATAGCAGCCGGTTTTGGCTGTTTGATGAAGTGACCCTCCAGGACCCCCTTTACACCCACCTCAATGCTGGTCCGCTTCTTCCGCTTCCTACCTTGAGTTGCAATCTTGTCCAGGCTACTTGTTGTGCCCGTGGAACAGTCTGCCTCGTGGAGCCATTTCTGCAAAAGGGGTTTTAACTTGCACATATTCTTGAAGGAGAGTTGAAGCGCCTCAAAGCGACAGATTGTGGTCTGACTGAAGACGTTCCCATACAGAGTTCCCAAGGCCAACCCGACATCCGCCTGAGTGTAGCCCAGCTTAATCCGGCGCTGTTTGAACATTTTGGCAAAATGCTCAAGATCATCTGACGAGGGGAACTCCTCGTGATCCTGGGTTGAGGGCGCGTCGTAGTTGTCTGTCGGTGACTCTGTACAACTCGGCAGCGAAGTGAATTGCAGCGGTGTGCTCATCAGTCCAAAATCGAAGTCCTGGTCGGATTCCGGCCGGCCAGGACCATTTTTGAAGGGTAGAAGACGTAAGGTCTGTGGACAGTTTTGAAAGTTTCCAAAAGGCAAAGGCGGTAAAAAGGGTAGGTTTGCTAGACCGTCGCTGCCACCATCAGTCTGCTGCTGCTGTTGTTCGGCTCCTGTGGCCGTCAGGTAGGCCGGCATTAGGTCATTCAATTTGGCGCCGACCGACGGTGACATGGAGTCATGTTCCGCTGGGGGAACATGGTGGTCATGTTGCTCGGACAGGAGGAGATTGCCCACATTGACGAAGGGATTGGGTAGAAGTGGTTGAGGAGCTTGCGTCAGTTGTTGTAAGACTTGTGGTTGCGATTGTCCAAAGTAAGATGCCTGACGCAGCTGCTCTGACCAGTTAGAATCACCCTCCTTGAACTTATCTTGTAGGTAAAGAGGAAGAGCGTCCAGCCCAGGAAATGCAGTAGGGGAACGTCGCACTTGACCATTCGATTTGGCCTGTAGATCTTTTTCACTCAGCTCATTGGCTTCATTGACTAAGGGGTTCATTTCAGAGTCCATGGAGGACGAGGAGACCGTGATAGCCGAATCGTCCTCGCCGGTGGTCGGGAGAACGAGACGACTGTCCCGCCGATCGCCGTCAGACCATTTGCCACCCCTCACATCGGCGTTGAAGGCAGCCGGTATGGCGTGGGATGACTGCTTTGCCAGTGAGAGCTCATCAGTCGTTTCAGACACCTGCGGCATCATCAGTAGTGATCCGAGATTCGTTGCACATCTTCCAATCTCACCTAGTCGGTTGAGACTCTGAAAATGTTCTGCGTCCGATATATGGCCTAGTTCATTCGACAGCTGCTCATTCTTCCCCGCTTCTGTGGGGTTTTTCGGACTGGGAACGGAAGACCTTTCGGGGAAGGACATGCTACGGACGGTATTCCAGTTATCACTAAAATAATCATTCATTCCTTGCGGTAAGGCTGGACTGTTCTGTCCGAAAGAAGTGGGCTCACGAACTTGTTCGTAACTATTACTATTGTAGTCATTGAATCGAGACGGCATTGAGCAGAAGAGCAGGTCGGAGGGCTTCCAGTCTTGGGGTAGTATCTGAGGCAGGGTGGCTTGCTCTGACCAGTATGAGTGGTAGTCACCCGTATGCATAAAACTCTGGTCCTTCTCGCCCTCTCGATTTCGATCAAACTCCCTCTGGGAGTATACGAGACACGGACTGGGTGAGAGAGCACTCTTAACGGGGGCCGAATTCGTCCATGGACAGCGTGGTTGATTTGGTCCTACCTCCATGACGGATGTAAGGTCGGAATTCGGAGATGGCTGGAGGGGTGGGTTGGGGACAGGAACCGTAGACGAATCACAGAGGGGCCACCCTGGGGAAGCGAAGCCACCAGTACCAACTTCACCACTTCCGCCACTGGTGAGTACCTGATTAACGGCTATCAGTTGGGCCCCCGTCGGCAACACAGTATAGCTATGAAGACCTTGCTGCCCGCCTGATGCGTCCACAGCAGACTGAAAGGTATTCATAAAGTTTGCACGGTCCTGATCTATGGACCAGGGTGATGCGTAGATTGGTGCAGTATCACACAGCGAATTATGATCGCCACCGATCACTGGTGGCATCATTGGGCGTTGGAAGGAGTCGTTGAGAGGAGGTAGAAAGGGGATTGCAATGTTGGGTTGCAGCGTTGACTCGAGATCACTTGGTAGCCTGGAATGGAATGATGGAGGGGCAAGGACGGCTGACTGGTAACTGTTCAAATTTGCAATAAAATCCTTTTTACTTTCCGACTTTCGTGCCCCACGCTGACGTCGAGCACCTTTGTTGCGTGTGGTCGGCGAGTAAACTACGGAGGGCAGGATACGAGGAATGGCCGTCACTGTAGTAGGTGGGGCAGTGGAGGTAGAGGAAGACGACAGAGGTTGATGGGGTCGCGGGGAGGTAGCCGGTGGGGAGGGAGGCAATGGCTTGCCTCTGAAGGAAAATTCCACCGAGTAGTCTGCTCTTAAGTGGGATGAGGAATCGATATCGGGAGGCTGCTGAACGACAGCAGCGGCAGAGTTGGGATCGTCGTTGCATATCATTTCGCGGTGAACATGCAAATCCCACTGAGCGCAAAAGGAGGTGACAGGTTGTGCGCAGTCTGCTCTCGTGTGTACGCACACGCGTGCGCGCTCTTCCCTTGTCAGCCACTGGCTGAGGACGAATCCGCGACCGACAGGTGGGGGCGG